GAATTAGGGTAAGAGTTACTCAGCACAATTAAGGAAGTGAATACTTAAACACCAGGAAAAGCTTAGCTTTGTGAAGAAAAGCAATCAAAGCCATTTCACGGAGCATAAAAAGAATACTAGGCAGGTCAGCGGAGGCAGTCAGCATTTTTCTTTCTAATGATGAAGCTGCTTTGATCCCCAAGCCAGGAGCTGATACACACCACCTTTTCCAGAGTCAGCAGCAATCCTGCCTGTGGCCAGTGGTCCCAGGCAAGGCGTGCTTTCACTGAAGGTCTGAACCGAATTGAATTTCAGCAGAAAAATTGACTCAAAGTGCCAAGCTTTTACATACACCACTGAAGGAAGGTCTTCCTCAACTCCACACTCTGTTTCCCTGTGGGTAAGCGTTAGTTTACTCACTCTATAAGCCTGGTGAGAAATCAAAATCACAGATTATTTTCACACGGTAATCTCCAACGACTAAAGAAATTTCTTTTGCTAATCAGAAGGTATGCTTAACAAAGAGTGTGAATCGCAGGTTGAGTTCAGTCGGAGAGTCCGGGGCGGGGGGGGCAGTTTCCAAACAGCAAAGAGCAGCCTTCAGGTGCAGCTCACCTCCGCTCTCTCCTCTCTGTCCTGCCAGCAGCATCCCCTGGTCTGAGATCTTTCCTGCTGCAACACTGCAGCCAGGACCCAGCTCTGATGCTGTCCATGCCAGAATGCTCTAGGCTCAGCCAGGACCGCAGGCAGAGGCAGCACAGTGGACCAAGGAGCTATAGGGAAGGTATAGGGTGATGCTTTTGTCACCCCAACTGCTTACTACAACAAGTAGTACTGAAATAAGAGTTACACTCCCATTATCCATGCTACGAGCCCGTCCCTAGCCTCCACAACTTTTAACGAGCAATGCTAACATTAGGTAGAGAGTTTTGGCAAAGGATGAAATCTAGGAATTTTTTTAAGATCAAGTTACATGCTTTACTGTCAGCTCAGCTGAGGCCAACTTACACGCCTGCCTGATTTAAGTCACTCAGCTTTGGGTTTTGAGGATTAATAATTTGAAGTTTGCAGAGGCATCATATATTTGCTCAAGTGAAAAACTGCTATCACACTTTATAAGTCAGCAGTAATTCTGCTTGCAAAGTTCTCTGTGCCCTGAAGGGTTTAACCAATTTAGCGGGGGAAGCATAGACAAGAGCAATCTCAGGGCACGCTCACTGCAAACACAAGATCCCAAGTGGATTTTTGTAGGCTAGACCTGTGTACATGCATACGATCCAAAGTTGGCACACTTCACTTGAACTTAAACAAAAATATCACATTGAGAAATCACTATCTGGTGGCCATAGCATTAGGGGAGAGAAAAACCCTAAAATCACAGCTCTCTAAATTCAGAGATTTCAGAGGCAGCACTGGCACCACTGCAGATAGAGACCACAACATGAGCACAGAATCAACACTAGAGGAAAATCCTATCTCAAAGCAGAAATCAAGTAACACTAACCCTATTTATCCTAATCTATACAAAGCAAACAAGTGCATTTATTATAAAACAAGATAACTTGTTTGAGCAGTAAGGCAAGCTAATCTGTCTTTCAGTTGCTGGCAATCATGCCGTGCTTTCCTTGCCCTTTGCCCACCGAAAGCCAAGCTTGTTTCCTACTTCTGAAATGTTTTTGCTGCCAATAACTATGTAATTTGCAACAGAGATCTAGCTCCCTGCCCAAGAGCCAGGGCGAAACAAGTTGGTGCGGACTTGACCTCTCACGATGGCGATGACAGAAGGGGTTATAAAACCAAAATTCCAAAAAAAAGACTCAATTACCAACAAACTTCATCATCTCCTCTCTCACAGCAAGAAGGGAAAGCAGTTCTCCTTTTCTACAGTTTTAAGCTTGTTCTTTGGCAAATGTCTCACCTCCTCCCTGTGTGAAACAAAGGTGCGTTCCTCGCTGTGAGGAGAAAAGGGCGTAAGATACCTGCTGCTTACATCAGTGCTGTGTTACTAACATGGGCAAACACCAACACGCAAAAGGTGACACACGTTTTCCTGACTCTTTGCATACAACATTAACACCACGCAGCACCAGAGCAGTTAACCTTGAGCAAGAGGAAAAGCAGAATACTGACAGAAATACTGTTCTGGATGACCTGTTGAACCCTCTTGCTTCCCTTAATCCCCAAAAGGAGGCTTTCCTGTCACTCACTCCCCAGCTCTGTGCTACTGCTGTGATAAACTCTGCATTCCAACATGATATTTTTTTTGCATCATCGCATAAATTTATAACTTAATGGCTTCAGGGCAGGAAGTCTTCATTTCATGCCAAAAGAAAGCACATGCAAGCCTAGTTAGCTTGCAGAACAGAAAATTTACTGTTCTCAGATGCACACCAGACAGGCCTTCTACAAACTAAGAAAAGGCATGGAGTGACCTTGACCACCGCATTTATTAGCGGAGTCAAGTTTCAGCAAAGAAATCAGAAAGATGCTGCAATCCTCTGCTGATTTTCTTTCTGTTGAGAACAAAAACTCATCTAGTTTTCAGCTGGGGCAAATCTCACGCATGCAAGGAAAAGAGATTCCTTCAGTCTGCATTCACTTAGATTGAGGTTTGCAAAGTGTCATCCTTCTTCACGAAGCGTCGCTTGGATGAAAGTGCGTATCAATGTGGCTAACAACAAAAAAAAAAAACTCCATAGAACTAGAATATTTCTGATTCTTTGTCTTCATCTTACCATTAAAACAGAAAATGAGTCCAGCTGATCCTACCACAACAATACCCAGGCACAAATGCTACAACGCCAAACACCAGTCAGTCATCTGCACACTCACTGGTTCTGACAGACACTCCCTCCCCAGATCTCACACCACAAAAGCAAGCACAAGGGTTCCAAATACGCCCCAGCATCTAAGCAACGCAAAAAACCCCAAACACCTAGAACTTTAGACTGACCAAACCACGGACACTTTTATTATGGGGAAAGGACTAATAATGCTGCTCGAGTTCTGCAACCCAAATGGAAAAGCCAAGCATGGCTGCTCCTACTGCCACACATTCCATAATTCAAGAGCATTCACAAATAATTTAAAAAAAAAAAATAATCCATGCCTATTCATTGAAACCTGACAACTTTTGATTCCCCTCTCAGAACACCTATTGCCTAAAGGGGAAAAGCTGCAGCAATCTCCCAGGACAACAATAAATCCAGCCTCATGCACCACTCCCCCCCCCCCATGCCCCTGCCACAAGAATTCATCACTTGCTTGCGCTTCAGCTTTTTCTTAGTTTAATTTTGATTTCCTACACTTCCCCAACTACCCAGAGAGGTGCAGCTGTTCCAGCCTCTCTGAAAAAAGCTCAAGCAGGAAGGCAGCCCTCTTGCCTACACTCCCGAGCAAAACTTGCACCTGGCAACGTCAAGGTCGTGGTTATTTTTTTCTGACCATCAAGTTTCCAAACTGCTTTACCAGCCCAGAGCAAGGTTTCCACCAAGCAAGACACCACCTACACACCCCAAATTACAAACCGCCCCTGACCCCAACGTGTTGGGCGGTGGACACCCCACAGGAACGGGGGCGGCATCGCACCCTCCCCGCCTCTGCAGCGTTTCTGACCCCACCACCTTTAACCTCTGCTGAGGAAACCCTGGCCACACACAGCTGCTCCCAGTCTGCTCCAGAAGGCAAGCGTCCCATGGCACGGGGAACACCCAAAAAATTCAAAAATGGGCCTAATGCTAGCAGGACAGCCTCTTTTTTTTTTTTCCTTTTCTTTGAATAAATTTTCATCCAAATCCCTCAAGCACAATTTAATGCTGACACCTTTTCCTCCCAGGTCTGTGATTCCCCAGACCCCCCGAAGCGACTCAGAAAACGCAGTACAAACTTTCACAGGGGTGCACAGAACGGGGAAGTTCACTGGTGCGTATGACCTAACGCATCCAAAATAACCCCAAACCC